ATTCAGATATTTTTCAAAGAAGGTTTACCATATAAGTCTTTTTGTTTTGTGCAACCTTAAGATTTAGAAAAAAAATTCCTCATGACATATGTTAGTTTTAACATCTGTAGTTAGGTCTCAGAGACATTGAGTGAGAAGGGAAGACAATCTTTGAACATGGGACACCATTACATGTACTACAGCCAAGGACTGAATACTAGCATTCATCTCTCTCTTTACTGCAGATAAAGTGTTCTTGACACCGTCTTCCCTACCATGATGGATTATATTCCCATTGCTTATTTAATATATGTTTTTGATTTCACAGGAATTTACAGTTAAGTGACTTTCTTGACTCCAGATGATACTGTTTTTTGTTGTTGTTCTTGATATTTTGTTTCTAAAGTGATGTGGGATTTCCCTCTGTATGTTGTGACTACCATTGGTTAATAAAGAAACTGGCTTGGCCTGATAGGGTAGAACAGAGCTCGGCAGGGAAAACTAAACTGAATGCTGGGAGAAAGAAGGGCAGAGAAAGAAGCCATGTAGCCCTGCTGGAGACAGACACTGGAACTTTAGTCTGTAAGTCACAGCCACGTGGTGATGCACAGATTAATAGAAATGGGTAAAATTAATTTGTAAGAGTCGATAAGAAGCTAGAGCTAATGGGACAAGAAGTGATTTAATTAATAAGTTTCTATATGATTATTTTGGGGCTAAGCAGCTGGGAACTAACTAGAAGCCTCCTTACAACAGTGATGAGACTGATGAATACCAGGGAACCTTTTAGAGATAGACTATATGCACATTTTATTTTTTAATTTTATGTTTGAGATTGTAATTTAATTATATTTATTTCTTCCCTATCCTCCCTCCACATTCTCCTTCAAATTCTTTTTTCATTACTACCGAAAGCACATAAGTATTTGTGTATACATTTATAGTCTCAAATGTAACCTGATGAGTCTATATAACATTTCATATATGTATGTTTTCAGGGTTGACCGTTTAACTGGACAATCAATTGGTGTGTTCTTCCCTGGGGAGGAGAACCACCAGATATCCATTTTTCTATCTATATCAAATCTCCATTTTAAAGCGACAGACTCTGTCACTGTGATAATTACTCTTGTCTGTCAACTACATCTGGAATTAACTAAAAGCCAAAAATGGAAGGCATATCTGTGAGGAAATTCTGCTTATTTAAAGTTGGAATAGACCGTAAAAGGCTAATCAACCCAATTATAAAATGGGGCACTGAGTTGAACAGAGATCTCTCAACAGAAGAAGTTCAAATGGCCAAAAGACACCTAAGGTCATGCTCAACTTCCTTAGCGATCAGGGAAATGCAAATCAAGACAACTTTAAGATACCATCTTACACCTGTCAGAATGGCGAAAATCAAAAACACCAATGATAGCCTTTGCTGGAGAGGTTGTGAAGAAAGGGGTACACTCATCCATTGCTGGTGGGAATGCAAACTTGTACAACCACTCTGGAAAGCAGTGTGGAGGTTTCTCAGGAAATTTGGGATCAACCTACCCATGGACCCAGCAATACCACTCTTGGGAATATACCCAAGAGAGGCCTTATCACACAACAAAAGTATATGCTCTACTATGTTTATAGCAGCATTGTTTGTAATAGCCAGAACCTGGAAACAACCTAGATGCCCTTCAATTGAAGAATGGATGAAGAAAGTATGGAATATATACATATTAGAGTACTACTCAGCAGTAAAAAACAAGGACTTCTTGAAGTTTGCAGGCAAATGGATGGAAATAGAAAACACCATCCTGAGTGAGGTAAGCCAGACCCAAAAAGAGGAACATGGGATGTTCTCACTCATATTTGGTTTCTAGCCATAAATAAAGGATATTGAACCTGTAATTCGGGTTCTTAGAGAAGCTAAATAAGAAGGAGAACCCAAAGAAAAACCTATAGGCATCCTCCTGAATATTAACCTTCATCAGGCGATGAAAGGAGACAGAGACAGAGACCCACATTGGAGCACCGGACTGAAATCTAAAGGTCCAAATCAGGAGCAGAAGGAGAGAGAGCACAAGCAAGGAACTCAGGACCGCGAGGGGTGCACCCAAACACTGAGACAATGGGGATGTTCTATCAGGAACTCACCAAGGCCAGCTGGCCTGGGTCTGAAAAAGCCTGGGTCAAAACTGGTCTCGCTGAACATAGCGGACAAGGAGGACTACTGAGACCTCAAGAACAATGGCAACGGGTTTTTGATTCTACTGGACCTATTGGTTTCGTGGGAGCCTAGGCAGTTTCGTGGATGCTCACCTTACTAGACCTGGATGGAGGTGGGTGGTCCTTGGACTTCCCACAGGGCAGAGAACCCTGATTGCTTTTTGGGCTGACGAGGGAGGGGGACTTGATTGGGGAAGGGGAAGGGAAAGGGGAGGCGGCGGTGGGGAAGAGACAGAAATCTTTAATAAATAAATAAATTAATTAATTAAAAAATAAAGTTGGAAGATCTACTTCTATTCTGAATCTTTGAGGCAGAAAGACACATTTTTAATCTGGATATTTAATGCAGATTTAATCTAGGCCATGTCTTCTACTGGAAGCCTGTGATAGACTATGGGGACTTTTAAAGTGGGACCAAATGTATTTTACATTAGGATATGGCTACAAGCCTATGGGGGGTAGGGAGTGGAATGTGGTGCTTTGAATAAAAATGGCCCCAAATAGGCTCATATATTTGAATGCTTGGTCACTAGGGAATGGTACTACTTAAAGGATTAGCCCTTGTAGCCTTGTCGGAGTAGATGTGGCATGTTGGAGGAAGGGGTCACTGTGGGTGAGTTTTGGAGTTTCAGAAGCCCAAGCCAGGTCCAGTGGCTCTCTCTTTCTGCTGCTTGCGGGTTCAGAACTCTCAGCTTCTTCTCCAGCATCATGTTTGCCTTGATGCTACTTTCCATGACAGTGACTAAAAGGATTGCCTTGTTCATGGTGTCTCGTCACAGAAATAGAACACTGACCAAGACAGTCACATCAGTTTTTCAAATATTTGTGTGTGAGTAGTAACCCTCATGTTCATATGTGTACTGCATGAGTACCTGATGCTTCTAGAGGCTAGAAGCCGTCCATTCACTGGAACTGGAATTATAGATGGCTGTGAAGCACCAAGTGGGTACTGGGAACCAAACCTGGAACCTCTGGAAGCACAATTGCTCCTAACCTCCAAGCTATCTCTCCAACCTGTATTTTAATTTTTTAAAAAAATATTTATTTATTTATTTACTATGTATACAATATTCTGTCAACATGTAAGCCTGCAGGCCAGAAGAGGGTGCCAGACCTCATTACAGATGGTTGTGATCCACCATGTGGTTGCTGGGAATTGAACTCAGGACCTTTAGAAGAGCAGGCAATGCTCTTGACCGCTGAGCCATCTCTCCAGCCCCCATGTATTTTAAATTTTTATATTAAGTGTACAAAATAGTGAGCATCATTATGACATTTCCATACAAATAATGTCTATTGATCATATTCCCCATCTGCCTCCATTACTTTCTTATCCCTCCTCCCATTTTACTCCATCTGGGACTCGAGAGAATGAGGGAATTTTTGTTTATAATTATACTAGAACAATGTTCACAAACTGAGAGCTGTCCCAGGAAAACCTAGATGCAAGTTTGCAAACTTCTTGAGACAAGGCAGCAGGAGTGTGGCACCTCTTCATTCATAAGAACAGTATTTGACAATGTGTTAAGCTCCAGGGTTAAAAAGACCAATCAAAAATGGATCTTCAGCCAAAGAACTAAAAAACATAGTTTTAAAAGTGACTAGGAAGAGTACTAGAAGGTAATGAAACTTCATACTTCAGAGGTGACATACACATCGGTGGCTATTACAGCATTAAACATTAATCAAAGTAGCTAAGATAGAGAGGAGGCCCGGATGGCCATCCGCAAACAGAAAAGAAAGGTGTGGTAGACCGATATGCACAACAGTTTGATTAGTAGTAAAATGAATGTAATTGTGCCATTTGTATGGGAATGGAAATAACATATTAAGTGAAATAAACCAGCTTTAAAAGGACAAATATGACTCAGAAAGACAAATATCATATTACCACTCATATGTAGAATCTACACCTAAACATATGTAGAATCTACACTTAAACTTAACAGTAGAATGACTGTTCTCTTGGATGACATTCTGTTGAATGAGTAAGGCGTCTAATAGTGGATGAGGAAGTAATGAGATAGGGTAATAAAAACAAGAAAAGACGGACAAATATTGTCCATTCTCTCTTATATATGAAATCTAAATTTAAATATGTGTATAGCCCAATGTGGTGGTACATAACTATGACCCTAGCACTTCAAAGGTGGAGGTGGGGGGGGGGAATCTGAAGCTCAAGGTCATCCTCAGCTATCAAGTTCTAGACCAGCCTGGACTATATGATATCCTGTATCTCAAAAAAAAAAAAAAAGAAAGAAAGAAAAAAAACAGTATATATAAATAGCATGAAAACAGGAAGAGTATTAGGGGAAGGAAGGGAACCAGAGTAGGTCGATAGAGGACAAAATAAGATAAAGGAGGGGTGAATATGAACACATATACACACTTTGTGTGTGTTACAATTATATGTAAATATATAAAATTTATACATATATGCAAGATAAAATTATATATAAAAAGTATTGCCAGGTGGTAGTGACACATGCCTTTAATCCCAGCACTTGGGAGGCAGAGGCAGGCGGATCTCTGTGAGTTCGAGGCCACCCTGGTCTACAAGAGCTAGTTCCAGGACAGGCACCAAAAGCTACAGAGAAACCCTGTCTCGAAAAACCAAAAAGAAAGTATCATAAAATATTAAATTGTTTATTAGCTGAAAGTAATTAAACAATGAATATAGGTATAGAAATTTGTTTCAGGTTCTATTCTGAAACAAATAAAAATATGTGGCACATACTAATACAAGATGTAGGACAAATAATAATTTTCTTTAAATTGCTTAATAGTTTTAAAGGTTGATACAAGCTTATTTTTACTGAGCTAGTTTTTTCTCTTTAAGTGAAAAAAGTTACAATGACTATGATTTCAATAAGAGTTTCTGGTCTGTAAAGCATTTTCTGTGAGTTTAATCATGTGTGTCTTTTTGAACATGGTTGAAATTTTCACAGGATGTCAATGTAAAGAGAGCGAAATACCTAAGAGAAGAAAAAACAATATATAGTATACTATATATTGAAAAGTAATATATACTATACTATCTAAGAGCAACAAAAACTTAATAATATATACCCAAAATAAATATGAAGTCCTATAAATGATTGTTTTTAAGTGATTTTGGAGCTTTGCATAAGTGTTAGACAAAAGTGTCAGTACATTTTGTACACTAGGTATTATTCTGAAGATGACAAAATATAAATCAATCCATGCAAAACTTACAAAGAAAATGAGCTGGAAAGTTTGAATAACCCAGATGAACTGGAAAGCAAAATTAAAATTGGCATCTCTGTATTGGGTAATTCACTGAAGTCAAGTTTTTTTGAAATATGGTCACACAGTGTAGACCAGGCTTGCCTTGAACTCATGGAAATATTCCTGTATCAGACTCCAAGGACTGGAATTACAAACATGAGCCACCAAACTCAGCTAAAAGAAAAGTGTAAAGCCAAAAGTAGCAGTGTAGTCACTAGAGAAGTTATTACAGACTTGCTTAATAGCGGCTCAGAAAATTCATTTCTGTATTAATGTTTCCAGATAAGACTCTCAAAGTAAAGTAATAGCCATTACACTGTTAAGCCTGTTCCTAGCTTTTCTTCTTGTTTGTATAAATAGAATTAGCATGATCTGGAAGTCTCTGGTATATTGGTTTTACAGACAACCTTGTTTTAGTTTAGTGGGCACAGCTGATGCCTGAAGAGTTCCCATGCTCACAGATCTACTATCCTTGCTCCACTTTCCTTCAAAACACACAAAATGGAAAACTAGTTCAAGAAAAAGAAGCCTTACAGTTGAAAGAGAGCAATCTGGGGTACATGGAGAGAGAAAGGGTATGGAAAAAATCGTGTAATTTAATCTCAAAAATAAAAATATGAAAATAAATAAATAGGTGCATATGGTTGTACATTCCTTTAATTCCATGACTGGGCAGGCAGAGGCTCCTGGACTTCAATGAGTTCAAGGCAATCCTGGTCTTTGTAGCAAGCTTAAGGCTAGCCAAGCTACATGGTGAGAACCTTCTCAAAAATAAAAGTAAAATGTAAAAACAGGTCTGAACCAGATGTGGTAACTTAACGTTTATAATTCCACCACTCAGAAGGCTGAGTCAAGAGGATTCCTATGACTTCAAGGCCAGCCTGGGCTACAGTGACAGACCCTGTCCAAAAGAGAAACCTTGTGCACTGTGGAATCTGCTGTTTCCTTGGCGAATTTGCACTGAGTATTTACTGCATTCTATTGACTTTCCCAAGCACCTTCGTCACTCTTCTTATGTAAGCTTGTAATGTAATTGCAATTATTTTGGTAGATACCAGGGAATGTCTTCACCTTACACATAAGAAAAGCTCAAATTTTAAGAAGAGAAAAAGTTAGAACTGAAAACTGTCAAGACAGGTGAAGTGCATGCTAGAGAAGAGAGAAATAAAATTGTCTAATTCTCTTCTGTAATTAATTTTTTTAGTGTTTATCAAATAAGTTAAGTTGTTTTTTTTCTTTTTTCTAATTTACAGGGTCTCCCTCTGTTGCCTATGGGGAGGGATATCTCTCCCAGGGCTCAAGGGAACCTCCTGTCATGGCCTCCTGAAATAATGGGACTTGAGGTACGCATCACTAAGCACAGCTCGTCTGCTCCTTTTGTTTACCAGTTACAATAAGTGAAAGAGGTGGCAAAGTATGTTCAGGCTTGTGCACACACACACATACACTTTCCCACATCTAAAACATCACTTTGTAATTTTCCCTTGCATGATACGTTAGTTGTCTAAAAGCAGTTTTAATCTTTATTTGGATTCTCTAAAAGATGAGATTCCTGACATTTTGTAAAAAGTAGGGATGAGTAGATTCTTCTCAGGAGTAGATTGCATCCATAAGAAGAAGGATCTGGAGGGGTTATCTAGAAATACTTTGCTAGCAAAAGGAAAGAAAAAGAAAGAGTCCTATCTACAAACCACACACACACACACACACACACACACAGAGAGAGAGAGAGAGAGAGAGAGAGAGAGAGAGAGAGAGAGAGAGTCTATAAGAATTCGATTTCTCTCAAATTTGTAAGAATAACTTTATCTGTGCTTTCAAGCGTTATATCTTTATTACCCCAATTGAAATTTTGTCTGTAATTATGAGAATTAATGATTCTCTATACCATTGTAAACAGAAAAGTCAAATGCTAAAAAATGCGCACTTTCTGAGGGAAAAACTGTGTGTTCTGTTTTTCCCAGAAGTTTATTATATATGATTATGCTATATGTGTTTGTTTGTAGAGACTGCCTAACATCTGAACATACAGAACCAGATAAACTCTTGCACCGTTGCTACCCCAACATTTTACTCTAGAGGAATGCTCCTGTACATGGATTCCAAGCAGGTTAAAAAGAAAAATCGCTGATTAGATCTCTGAGGAGCCAGGGAACGGGATGACGGCCACAGCTGCAGCGGAGACATCGAAAATGGAAGAGAAGCAGCAGCCACGGCAGGAGGCCAGCATAGAGCGAGGCAATGCTGACCCTGAAGACTGGATGAGCTCTGAGAGTGACCCTGAACAGCTGGGCTTTAAGAGTGGCCACAACAGCTGCCAACCTGCAGATACTCCGCGGAAGAAGAAAGAGATGCCCTCTAAGCCACATCGCCAGCTCTGTCGGTCACCCTGCCTGGACCGGCCAAGCTTCTCCCAGAGCAGCATTTTACAGGATGGGAAGCTCGACCTGGAGAAGGAATACCAAGCCAAGATGGACTTTGCCCTAAAGCTGGGCTATGCAGAAGAACAGATTCAATCAGTGCTTAATAAACTAGGCCCAGAATCACTCATTAATGATGTATTGGCAGAGCTTGTCAGACTTGGAAACAAAGGTGACTCCGAAGGGCAGGTCAACGTGAGTCTGGTGTTGCCCCGAGGGGCTAGCTCCAGAGAGATCGCAAGCCCCGAATTGTCTCTGGAAGATGAAATAGACAATAGTGATAACTTGAGACCAGTTGTTATTGATGGAAGTAATGTGGCAATGAGGTAAGCCTGGTGTATTTTTTTTTTTCGTCTTCCTTTAAAATGGAAATTGTCTTGCATTGCAGAGCACTATGAGAAGGTGTTACTTGTCTGTGTCTTGCATTCCTATAGGTGGACAGAGTCTAGAATTACCCTTCCCTTGCTTTTCCTTCTCCTCTGGAATTGCTACCAATTCTCCTGCAAGTATTTTTGACAAAACATTAGATATTAGTGATGCTTGAACAGAGACAAAATATTTAGTGCCTCTGTCCTGTTTTTTTCTAGATTAGTCATTCTCAAAACTGCTGCTTATGCATTGCCAGTTGAAGGCTTACTTTGGAACTTCCCATAATTCCCAATCATGAATACACAACGCTGGGATCTTTCTACTTTCAAGGCAAATGTGTGATGTGGACTTTTCTCCAACTTGACTGCACCCCCCCCCTTTTTCCTTCCCTCCCTCTCTCCTTCCCCCGTTTCCTTTTTCTCTCTTGGGTTTTTTGAGATGGTTTTCTTTGTGTAGCTTTGGAGTCTGTCTTGGAACTTGTTCTTCTGTAGACTAGGCTGGCCTCAAACTCATGCCTCCTGAGTGCTGGGATTGAAGGCATGCACCACCACCACCACCACTCAGCTATTTTGGACTCTTTTAAGGTCTTATAAATCATTCTGGTTTCTATACCTACTACCTGTATTCATGTCATTTCCCAGTGTAGAAACAACATGCTCCTTTTTGTCACACCCTTAAAATGCAACGTGTGTTTTTTTCTAAACTTGGTGATAGTGGTAGGATAAATATTTGCCTGCTAAAGATATCCATATGATAATCTCCGAAGCCTGTAAGTCTGTTAAGTATTAAAATAGACATTATATGTGTATTTAACTTGAGTTTGAGCTGGGGAAAGTTACCTTGTATGATTAAGGTTGGCCAAGAGTTGTCACTAGAGGCAGACAACAGGATCAGAATAAGTAGTAAGACGTGCTACAGACACAATAAGTGAAAAGTAAGAAGGAGCCATGAAGGCAGGAAAAGCTGGAAAGTATAAGGAAACACCTGAGGCCTGAAGAAAGAAAGCAGCCTTACCAAAGCTTCGGTTTTAGGTTTCTGGTCTCTTCAACTTTCAACGAGGAATTACTATACGTGTAGCAATTTGTTATAGAGCAACTAGGAAGCTAATCCACTGACTCCCGGTGAGACTGAATTAGTGATCACTGTGGCAGTCAGTGGGCTTGTTCCTCACAGACCTAAAACTAGAACTACCAACCAAGTGTACCCGTCCTGGATAGATAACCAGATAACCGAAAGATCCAAGAATGCCAAGAATGTCATAGAGATAGCTTTGCAGCTGTGCTGGTTGCCACACTCCTCAGAAGAACCGAGATAAGAACCAGTCTAAATGTCCACAGAGCAATATGGAAATTATGATGTCTACAGAAAAGAGTTTTTCTTGATTTTGTTGTTGTTGTTTGTGTTTTGGAGACTGGGTTCTCTGTCTGTCCTGTCTGTCCTGGACTTCACTCTGTAGACCAGGCTGGCCTTGAACTGACAGAGTTCCAGTTGCCTCTGCCTCCTAGTGCTGGGATAAAAGGCATGCACCACTGTGCCCAGCTCAGAATAGAGTTCTGTTTGAAGGAAAATTGAGTGAGATTATCATTTTAAGTAAAATAACTGAACTCAGATTCAGAAAGAAGAAAAACTGGATTTTTCTTCTTTGTAGAGAATAAAAATGCATAGCTCTTATATATGACACATAATAGGGAAGGAGTATGATGGAGGAGGAACGGTTCTAAACTGAAGAGGGGGGAGAAAAGAGTGTACTGAAATGAAAAAAAGATTATCACATATTTTTTCTTATATGCATAACCTAGGCTTACATACATACATATATGTGTGTGTTATGTTCTCCCTCCCCCTCTCCCTCTCCCTCTCCCTCTCCCTCTCCCTCTCCCTCTCTCTCTCTCTCTCTCTCTCTCTCTCTCTCTCTGTGTGTGTGGTCACACCACAGCAAATGAGGATGTTAATGGGAGGAAGAAAATCATTGAAAGGCAAGAAGAGGGAGAATTTACTAGTAATTTTTCTCATTTATATGGCAAGAGCTGACACAAAAGGATGAATGTTGCTGTTCAGACACTGCTCTTTTATTCCGTCAAGGACGGCGGTTCATTTAGAGTGGCTCTTCACCAGTTAAGTCTTCCTGGAAACAGCCTCACAATCACAGCCAGAGATGTATTTTCAAGGAAACTCCAACTCCAATCAAGTTGACACTCAAGATTAGTCTCCACAGCTCCACTACTTGTCAACTTTATAGCCCAATACATAACTTTAAACCATAACATTCTGGCTCACGACCCTTAAGTCTCAGTTTCAAATGCATTTAGTTCATCCCAACACTATTCTAAAGCATAAATTCTTTTCTAAGACCCAAGAAAATCTCTAGATCTGAGCAGTGGTGGTGTAAGCCTTTAATCGTAGCACTTGGGAGGCAAAGGCAGGTGGATCCCTGAGTTCAAAGCCAGCCTGGTCTACAAAGTGAGTCCCAGGACAGCTAGGGCTATAGAGAGAAGCCCTGTCTTGGAAAATAAAAAAAGAAAGAAAAGGGAAAGAAAATCTCTTAACTGTGAGTATCTATAAGAATAGAAAACAAGTTAGATCCTACCAACATACAAAGCTCCAGAATAAACATTCCCAGTCCAAAAGGGAAAAAAAAAACAGATAATAACAAGTAAAGATCATATCAAAGCAAAAGTAAAACCTATCAGGAGAAACAGCTTGATTAACCTTGATATCTCATAGGTTGTACTGATGATGGCTTCATCTGAGCTCCAATGAGCTTGAGAATCCGTACCTCTCCATGACTGCTACCTGTAACACATATAGCTTCTCTTTAATGATGACTCCATTGGTCCCCTCACCTTTTCTCCGTAGATGTCGTTATAGTACCTCCAACATCCTGGAGTTTCCATTGCAACTTACAGTTTACCTTCCCTGTTTCATGCAATGGACTTTTAGGGTCACCTTGAAAGTAGATTAACCGGTCTCAACACCTCTTAGGAATCTTGGTACAAGACTTGATTCCTAAGACTTTCATTTCCTATGTCTCTAAAAACATCAGCCTGGTGCTTCCCAGCTCATCTGGGATATCAAGATGTGGTCTAGCTCGGTTCCATCATGGCAGTATTAGCCTTTGCAGGCCTTTGTTGCTGAACCTCGGGAAACGCTTTCCTAAACAGTTATTTTTTTGAGCAGAGAAACCCTTCTGCTGCATTTTCAGTTCAGGTTCTCTCCTTACAAATGTTTTTACATTGTCACAATATGGAACCTTACACGGGGGAAGTATTGCTCTAAAACACCGTGCCTCCTCAAGAGAGTTTTCTCTTTAATGAGCCTAGTGTCGTTAACATTTACAGATACTTTGTCTTCACCTTCTTTCTTCGCAGCATTAATCCTACTCTTTTCTTCACATTTTTCCTACCTTTATGATCTTCATTTTCCTTTTTTAAAAGATTTATTTGTATATTTATTTGTGTGTAAGTGTGTCCATGTATGCATGTGACTGCAGGAACCCATGGAGGCCAGAAGAGGGCATTGGACCACCTGGAGCTTAAGTTACATGTAGCTGTTAAACCACCTGACTCTGGTGCTGGGAACTGAACTCCCAAAATTTTAATCATTACATTTAAATTCAGTCTATTATTCAGTGAATTCTAGCAGAATGGGGCTCAAGAAATAGCTCAGTCATTAAGGGTCCTGGGTGCTCTTCTGGATGACCCAAGTTCACATTCTTCAATATTATTCATTTTTCCTTTTATTTAACATTGTTCTTTTTCCTTTTCCATGCCCACATTCCTTATTTTATTTTTTAAATTAAATTGCTCCTATTGAATGTGTACCTTTATAGCTTATTCTGCATTATCATTGCCACTTTATTTGCTATTGTTATTTGGCTTGGCTAGATTTAAATTGTTTAAATTTTTTTCCTTATGATTTAGTTTGGTGGTGTTGGTTGCACAGCAGTTTGGTTCTTTCTCTTTCACTGTTGTGGTTGAGACCTCAAAGTAAGGCTGATCAGTAAAGTATCCCCAAAATAAATGAAGAAGGGACACTCACCTCAACAAATGCACAGATTAAACTTTTTGGTGGAGGAAATGTTGAAAGAGAGTATTATTTGGGCTGTAGCATAGTTGCTGCTTACTGCGCTTCTGCACATCTACAGTAAGATAAAGAAACAAGGAGAGGGGGCTGGAGAGATGGCTCAGAGGTTATTGTTTGCTGCTCTTGCAGAGGCCTGGAGTTGAGGGATTTAAGACCTACTCCACAAGTTGAAACCCATTGCTTGCATGTTATTGGGGTCTAGAACCTGAAGGACAGGTCATAGATCCTAAGGGAGAGGTACTTTTATTATTTTCCTAAATGAGCATAATATTAAACTGACTCCTTATGATTTATCATTATACCTATAGGCTAGTATGTAGGTCAACCCTCATCAGAGAAGCTTTTTTAGTAGATGGTGATTAACACAGAGACACACAACTGATGAAGGTGCAGAGAATGAGAGACTGTGGAATGGTCAGACCTGAGTGAGATGTCTATATTACACCCACACACACATACACACCTAAGACTCAGAGAACATCGCAGAAAGAATGTAAAAATATAGGTGGTGGATGTGTACAAGGAAATCATTTTCTGGACACCTCAGGGAATTTGAACATATGAATTCACAGCACTTGAGACAACATTCACAAGATCTATGCAAGTTAAAGCCTGAAAAATGTCTAGCACGGAGAGGGGAGTTCACTCAGTCCCATTCCTAGATAAGCAGTCATTAGTGTAATGGAGAAATTAAAAATACTGCAGGATCCCTGGCAGCTGTAGGCAGCAGAAATGCTGCAGGTCCCCAAGTGGTGGTAGCGGGCCATGTGGCGGGAGGCAGCAGGCCCTGCTTCTTGTCCCCGAGTGGTGGCTGGTCCCAGGAAGGGAGACACGTGGTGGGCGGGCAAGAGATGGAGACATGGAAAGGTACACC